CTCCGCCTCCTGGGTTCAGGCAATTCTCCTGCCTCAGCCTCCTGAGTAGCTGGGATTACAGGCATGTGCCACCATGCCCAGCTAATTTTTTGTATTTTTAGTAGAGACGTGGTTTCACCATGTTGACCAGGATGGTCTCGATCTCTTGACCTCGTGATCCACCCGCCTCGGCCTCCCAAAGTGCTGGGATTACAGGCTTGAGCCACCGCACCCGGCGAATTATTATTATTTTAAAAAAAAATTTTTTTAAAGGCGGGATTTCACCATGTTGGCCAGGCTGGTCTAGAACTCCTGACCTGGTGATCTACCCGCCTCAGCCTCCCAAAGTATTGGGATTACAGGTGTGAGCCACCACGCCCAGCCTGAATTATTCTTATCTAATATCCAGCCTTCATCATTTCAACACAAGATACTGTTTGCTAACAAAACATCATTGATAACTTCAAGACAATTTAAGTACATTATAACAATTTTAAAACATTATCTTTTCTTATAGTAACCACCACTCCTTGCCAATAGTCTAAAGATATTCTGAAATTTTGGGAATTATGACATAACTGAAAATTAAAAGCCTATATTACAGGAGGAAAAAAACCAATAAATACATAAACAAATTAGATAACTTCAAATGGGATTAAGTACTATTAAGAAAAAAACAAAACCAGAGCACAGAAAGAATGACTAAGTAGGAGTAAAGCACTACTCTATTAGAAGGTCCAGGAAAGCCCCCTCTGAAGAGGTGGCATATGAATTGAGACCCATAACTAGGGGAAGAATGATCTAAGCAGAATGAAGCAAGGTTGAACTTGTCCTCTCTAGAGAGAGAAAATGGGCCATATGGCTAGAGCAGAGTGAACAATGGGAAATAAGGAATATGAAATCAGAAAGATAGGCAAGGACCAGATTATACAGCCTAGAATGCCATGGACAGGAGGTAGATTTTATTCTGATTGCAATGGGAAACCATTGAAAGGTTTTACGCATGGGAATGACTTGATCTGGTTATTTATGACCGAGGTTGCTATGTGGAAAATGGATTATAATGAGACCAGTCAGGAGGCTCCTGCAGCTGTACTGGCAAGAGATGAGGGATATGGCGGTGAAGATGGTGAGGGGTCAGATTCTCACAAGAGACCACATGACTGCTGATGGATTATATATGGGATATGAGAAAAAGAGGAAATTTGGATGATGCTTAGAATCTTGGCCTGAGCAAATAGGTTAAAATTATACTAGTTACTGAGAAAGTTCATTTCTAAATTGATACTTTGAAACTAAATATATTTTCCCACTGAAATACTATTTAAAATAATAGATTAAATTCCTGGATCAGTTTATTAAGTCTTAAGGGTTAACTCTGTCTAAAACTGGCTTAAGAGTAAAGTGAAAGGAATAGTGGTTTCAATCTCTGGTTAGCTCCTATACTCAGTACTCAGGGAATCAGCCTTGTAGAGAGGAGGCAGGCGCTTCAGTCTCAGCAATTCTGGTGGGAGTGAAGGAGAGATCTGACAGCAGAGGATGCCTTGAAATCTAGTTGCTGAAGGATTGACTATTTACATAGGCACTCGTGAAGCAGTCCTGACTTAAGGACAGCTCAATTGCTTGCTGAATACCTCAACTCGAATGATCCTCAGACACCTCAAATTCAGCATGTCTTAAAGCTTAACAGTCTGGCAATCTACTCTTTCTGTATTTCCTAACTTTTGTAGCTAGTGGTACCACCAAATACTCAGTCTCTAAAATCATGAACCTGAGGGTTATCCCAGGCTCTTCTGCATGCCCTTCACCCCCCATATCCCATCAGTCACTAAATCGTGTCAATTTCAACTCCTAAATTTGTATCCCATGTAAGAGGTCCCCAGCCCCTGGGCCACTGACCAGTACCAGTCTGTGGCCTGTTAGGAACACGGCAGCACAGCAGGAGGTAGGGTGGGGGGGCATGAGCGAGCATTACTGCTTGAGCTCCACTACCAATCACATCATCAGATCAGCAGCAGCATTAGATTCTCATAGGAGTGAGAACCCTATTGTGAACTGCGTATGAGAGGGATCTAGGTTGTGTACTCCATATGAGAATATAACTAATGCCTGATGATCTGAGGTGGAACAGCTTTACTGCAAAACCATCATCCCCCAAATCTGTGGAAAAACTGTCTTCCATGAAACCAGTCCCTGGTGCCAGAAAGGTTGAGGACTGCTGCCTTACACTATAGTAATAGTCTCTCAATTGTTCTCCTCTGTGCCATACTTCCATTTGGTTCCATTTTCCACAGTGCCAGCAGTTACCTTTCTAAAATGGCAGTAATTTCCATCTTAAAATCCTTTAATAGTTCCCCATTGCCTATAGGATAAACTCCAAGCTCCTTAGTATGGCATATGTAAGTATGATGGAATTCCAAACTACTTGGTCATTTCATTTCCTACCATTCTGTATCCATTAGGTACTCTAAAGATAGCTGTACTGGCTGGGCGCAGTGGCTCACACCTGTAATCCCAGCACTTTGGGAGGCCAAGGTGGGCGGATCATGAGATCAGGAGTCCAAGACCAGCCTGATCAACATGGTGAAATCCATCTCTAATAAAAATACAAAAATTAGGCTAGGCATAGTGGCTTGCACCTATAATCCTGGCACTTTGGGAAGCCGAGGCAGGTGGATCACTTGAGGTCAGGAGTTTGAGACTAGTCTGACCAACATAGAGAAACCCCATCTCTAAGAAAAACAAAAAAACAAAAAACAAAAAATTAGGCCAGGTGTAATAGCTCACATCTGTAATTCCAGCACTTTCGGAGGCCAAGGTGGGTGGATCAAGAGGTCAGGAGCTCGAGACCAGCCTGGCCAATATGGTAAAACCCCATCTCTACTAAAAATATAAGAAACTAGCTAGGCATGGTGGCACACATCTGTAGTCCCAGCTGCTCGGGAGACTGAGGCAGGAGAATTGCTTGAGCCCAGGAGGTGGAGG